TCATTAATTATGCAACCATACATCACAGATATGATGCTTAAAGTTCACCAAGAAGAAAGGCCAGACATTAAGACTGTGTTAACTGAACTGGAATCTCTGGCAACCAAATGGAATGTAGACCTCAAAGGACCTGTTGTAAGTTGTAGTGCCGTAGCATTTGAAATAACCCAATGTTAACAACTTTGTGGGATTCTTTCAGCTCACCTTAGTTTATACAGGGGCTCATCCAGGATTTTCATTGGGGGAGGGGGGGAAGTCCTGACATGTCAAATTGTCATATCAATCTATGGTTTTAGTGCTTTTTGGCTTTGAAATGGGGGGGGGGGTCACAGGCACCATGTGACCACCCCCTGGAAATGCCCCTGTTATATAGTATTATTCAATAGTTAATATCAGACAGAAATGTAGATTTTGTCACCTTTCTTATATGTAGGTTGATGGAAAGATGGGACTCTCAAGCTCAGGTACGTTTGAGAAACATCACCATCATCATCAGCCATCATCATCATCATTGCTCAAGTGACATGTATTCACTTCTATATTGTTTCCACAGCAGTGAGTGATGGAACCTTGACTTCTCCTGTCAACCAAGGATCCGGAAGCTCTGTATTACTGGGTGGCGTTATGAAGGGTGCCAATAGCTTGTTTACCAATATCAAAGGCATCTCAAGCAAGGCTATTCAGTCTGTTGCAGGGTGAGATAATTATCCATTCCAGACCATTTCTTGAATTGGCATAGTCTAGTCATTACAACTATTCCTATTGCATTGGACTTTATGGATTTCTAACTTTACAATATTTCTCTGTGAATAGCAACAGTTTTGAAAGATAATTTAATATTTATCTTTGCTTTAGCTATGTGAAGAGTGACTTTGATATGTCTTACATCACATCAAGAATCATTGGTAAGTTAACATCACTTTGGCTTTCATACATTGTAAGCCTGTGAAATTCAGTGATTCACTGCTCTTTAATTGTGCATGTTTTCCATTGTCTTTTTGGYGAATTATTTATAACACTATGAAATGAAACTTTGGGTAATACTATAACAAAGAAAGAAGAAAAAAATTGTAAAGAAAGTATAAGAAAAGATACAGACTTTTAGCCTGCCTTCAGCCCAACCATAACAGATTTGGTTTGGCTACACACAGTTTAATAAAATTGAGTATTATATACGTTGTGAAGCATGTTCCAGCATTTTTTTCTCTCTCTCTTTTCAGTCATGTCTTTTCCTGCTGAAGGAATTGAGTCAACGTACAAAAATAACATCGACGATGTACGAGAATTCCTAGAAGCSAAGTATCCAGAGAAATACTTTGTTATCAACATTTCTCCAAGAAGTTATCGAATTGAAAAGCTTAGTACCAGAGTGTTACACTCGTGTTGGCCYACAAACAGACTGCCACCTCTTGAGAGTATAATATCTTTATCAAGGAAGATCAACGCATGGTTGAAGAAGGACATTANTTGTCAGGTACACAAACAAGGAACACCTAACATTTTCCACCATTGTCTTGTTTTACAAATGATTTCTTGTTGAAAAGTGCTTCCTGCTTAGTTCAAAATCAAAGGCGAATTTTCGTACGAGAGAAAGTCGCGCAGAGCTTCTTCTGGCTTCACGTTATGTACTGTTTATGAAAACTACTTCATGTTGAGCTTTCATGTACATGCAGTGGTTTTACTGAAAGTCATTCAAATGTGACTTAGACTATATGAACAAGTTATACACCAAGTTGCTAAATCTGGTATTATATTCCAGGATGGCCGAGTATCGTCAGGTGTTATGGTTGCAGCTTTCTTCGTGTTCTGTAAACTGTTCAAAAATCCCAACGTTGCTGCAGATATGTTTAGTATACGACGATGTGGAATAGGCCACAAAGTTTCTCTAACACCTTCCCAAGAAAGGTAACTCGACAAAAATGTTTCCATGAAAATTGCACTTGAAAGAAAACAAGTGAAACAATTTGGACACTGACGCACTGCTTTCAAACAAAAAAATGTATTTAGTCGAAAGCAGAAAAGCCGAAACGTTTACATTTATGAAGACGACAGAACAGCGCTTTATTTCAATTGAAACGTGCACTTGTTAGCAAGTACATTAATTATAATACTGTAAATTGCTATTTGTTTCGTAGGTATCTTTTGTACATAACACAGCTCATCAACAATCCCAGTATAAGACCGCAAATGTCTGCACTATACATCAAGTCAGTCACTATGAACCCAGTACCTGCCTTTAACAGATCGAGGTATTTGAGTAACGAGTATCCTCCTTAATCGCATGCGCATGTTAGCTCAGTAAAGCCTGGCGCTAGGCCATGTGGRAATGTGATATTAAAGCTCGTAATTCGACTCTTACGCATGCTCTTTCCATTATCATCGACRAACAATGTTATGATTTGTTTGAAGGGTTTTTTAGCTCACAATACAATATATGTTTTTAGTAATAACTAAACGTTCCTTACAGTATGCAAACTATTCTTTAGAAATGGATGTAGACCGTTCATAGAAGTTTATCAAGGTGAAAAACGGACGCTCACTACTGTGCAAGAAATTGAAAAAATGAGGCAAGTTTACTTGTGTTTTTGGTGCTAATTCCCATAGTGTTTGCCCTTTTTTGCTTGTCCTTTCTCTTCTCTCCTATCCCGCTTTTTAGCACTCTGAATTTCCTATTTTTACTTCCCTCGAGCCTTCCCGTTAAATTGCCTCTGTCTTCATAGGGAGTTTACGCTTAGYGATGGCAAAGTGACTTTCCCGGTAAACTTGACATTAATCGGTGACGTCACGATCATCGTGTATCATGGAAGATCGACTCTTGGCGGGAAAGTCCAGGGCAAGATGGCGTCTATYAGAGTATTCCAAGTACAGTTTCACACTGGATTCATCAATCCTAATGCAACAAAGCTYAAATATTCCAGGTAGAAAGATAATGTTTTAAAGTTTTTTTCTTCTTTATTTTGTTTTACATAACCTTTGCATAGCTTTGTGGTACTTTGTCGAAGGGAAATTTAGTCCAGAAGTGGACCCCAGTTCTGGACTAAGGGAAATTCAGTTTCCTATGTCTTTTTAACTCAAACTGACATCATATTTCAGGGCTGAATTAGATGTATCGAAAGAAAGCGAARCGAAATTCCCCAATCGATTTTGTGTCACTCTTGACGTCAGTATCGACACGGACCGCGTTAGTAGCACAACTCACACGTGGGATACCTTGAACCCAGAGAGACTGGGCCCTAACGTGTGTTTCTCGTCCAAGGAAGAGTTTTTGGAATGTCAAGAAGAGTTCGGTGGGTAGAAGTAGAGTAACAGCTTTGTTATTTTCTGGAATGATTTATCTCTAGTGATCACTTTCTCCTGTCACGYATTTCAAACTCGTTATATTATTTATAAGATAACTGTCACATACGACAGGTGCTGCGATTGCGTGACGGGACCAGGTGTTTTTCTATCCAAAACAATAACGTATAAATAACACATARCACAATTYAGTYCTCAAAATATGTTTYTTAACGTATTTTTCACTTCCTCACMAGTWAATGCCGATGATCGCGAGTCTTCTATGACATTTCACGCCGTTCACGAAAATCGKCCGAGCTCACCCGAAGTAGACACGAGTCCCGATCGGCCAACTTCGGTTCCCCGCGTCGATAGTTCTGCATCTGAAGAGTCGAGAGACGAACATAGCGACGACGAATTCGCGAAAGAATTTTTCAACTTACGGTCGTCTAAAGGATCAACAGAAGTAGCTCAAGAGGCACTYGAAGGGGATTACTTCACGAGCAAGGAGACGAAYGGGCTCGACAGCGGAAGCTTTGCCACTTTTGCTGACTTTAATAGYCTGCAACACAATCCACAAGCTGATTTACTAGACATAGGTCCACATAATCAAGACACAAAGGACCGTACGCACAGTATCACGGAAACATTAGACTTACTTAACCTCGGAGTGGCTCATAGRCACGAGCCTCGKTCACCCAAGTCAGCGGTTGATAGCGGTATAGATCTTCTAAAGCTATCTACAAGTCCCAAACAAAGCCAACACGTTGATCTTGTGGGTGGGCTTGAGAAACACAAGCGAAATCGAAGTGCAGATGACCTGCTCAAGTCGCCAACCCATGAAGACGATGATTTTTTCAAACAGCTCGGAAGCAGGAGCTCTGGGTCGAGTTTAGAAAACTTAGTATCCCCAGAGGGWAGTACTTCGCCRAGTTTTGACCCATTTGGTTTAAAACTRAGCCCGCAGGCACCTCATYCAGCGGATAGTCAAAATAGTTTTGATCCGTTTGAGAAGAAACAGAAGGAAAAGTCCTCAGGGGGTGGTGGAAAGGRTATGTTTGATCCCTTTGATAAGAATGAGACGTCGCTGTCWCCGGAAGCTACTAGTAAGGATATGTTTGATCCATTTGGAGCAATGGCTTCGTTATCTCAAAAACCCAATTCCTTTGAGACTAAGAGGGCCAAATCACCCATCCTTTCTGGCACAGGGATCCCGGTCAACAGTACAAATAACCGCAGCTCGCCAGTACCTAATGTATTTACGTCACAGGYAGCCAATCAAAACGTTCCAGATCTGTTTGGAGGAACCGATAGCAAGGGAACTCAAGCCAAAAAGAATCAGTTTTCAATGGGCGATGATATATTCTCAGTAGGGGGCTTTGAATCCAAGCCTTCAAATCAACCGAGGCCTGACTTGCTAGGAGACTGGGGAGATGCGTTCAAATCGGACGTACAACTGAATCCTGTCCCATCCCCCCTCGCCACTCCTCCAACTACMCGAAAGTCTGAAAAGGCCAAYWCCACCCCGAAYGATCCTTTCGCTGATTTTGGAAACATCATGGGTCAGAGTAGTGCATCGACTGCGTTTCCTAGYAACCAGAAGTTCCCTAGCAACCAGAATGTCTCGTCACCGARTCAACAGCGTAAACCATTTGGTGGTCAGACGTGGCAAACGAAAGCACAAGCGAAACCAAGTCGCGARTCKCCTAAGAAACCACAACAGAATTTCACTCAATCCAAAGCCAAGCCGAACTATACACCTTCATATTCAGCAGCGTCCGGGGGGTCTAGTGTATTTGGTGAATATGGACTGAGGACATCCCATAGTAAGTATTACTGTCTTTATATGGTGGTATAAACCTAATATGGCTGTCTAGCTTAGAAATTATTGAATGCCCCGGCGACAAAAATACTACCATCTATTATCATTTCATGCTTCAAATTTATTTGATTTAATGTTTCAAAATAAATAAATGTACTATTTTTTTGACGGTGATAACATTCTCATAGTCCTTGAGCTGAGGCAGTTGTTGTATAGTGCACCTTGGGCATCGGTATCCAGTAGTTTCTAACTGAATCGACACTGAAAACATTAGGATTCAAGATGGCGGCCATATTGGTAACAAGGTTTATTTTTATTTGTTTTTAGTGCCCAAACGAGTTGGAAAAGACGAGTTTAGTGACTTCCTTAATGTTCATGGCTTTAAGACGACAGAYAAAGACAAGGGACCAGAAAAACTATCAGATCTTAGAAAAGAAATGAATAAACCAGAAGACCCTATACAAGCCAAGGTTTGTTTGCCTCAAGTTTTGTATGCTTGATAATATTTCATTGATTTATGGKTTTTTTKYTCTCTACTGTTTCGTTAGGTACGCGAATGGGCCGAMGGGAAACAGAGTAACATACGTGCGTTGTTGTGCTCGCTTCATTTGGTATTATGGGAAGGTGAAGGAAGATGGGAACAAATTGGAATGCATCAACTCGTACAACCTGAACAGGTTAGTGCTAGTCACATTGATTGTTTCTTTGATTGATTGATTGATTGATGATTAATTGATTGATTGATTGATGATTAATTGATTGATTGATGATTAATTGATTGATGATTAATTGATTGATGATTGATTGATGATTAATTGATTGATTGATGATTAATTGATTGATTGATGATTAATTGATTGATTGATGATTAATTGATTGATTGATGATTAATTGATTGATTTTGATTGATTGATGATTAATTGATTGATGATTGATTGATGATTAATTGATTGATGATTAATTGCTTAACTGTTTGATTGATTAATTCATTGAATGATTGATGATTAATTGCTTGATTGATTGATTGATTGAGTTATTAATTGACTGGTTCAGATTGATTGATTGATCGATTGATTGATGTCATTTACTAGGTAAAGAAGATGTATAGAAAAGCAGTGTTGTCTGTCCATCCAGATAAGGTATGCCGCTTGAATTTCTAGCTTTCTCTTGTTACATCATTTCTTCGCTAACAATATAGTACTTCTCGTACAATTCTACTCACTATATAATATTCTTATACAATTCTATTCACCGCTTCCTTTTGTTCCACTTTCCAGCTCACCGGCCAACCCCACGAGGAACTTGCAAGAGCAATATTCGTTGAATTGAATGAAGCTTGGGCTGCATTTGAAGAAAGTGGTTCCAAAGCCCTTTATTAGGTCATAAATCGTTGCAGTCGTATTCAATATGAATATGAACAAGAATCTGCGCAATTCCTGTATAGAACAGACAATGTGGTTTGTCAGTTGTAGTGAAAATCTGACAGGCATGGCTACGATTACCGACYCCAGTACAACCACAAATCGTAGTGATTTAAGGTCAAACAAAATCGAATGTCGAACGAAGTTGAATGTCGAATGAAATCGGATGTCGAAATAAGTGAAATCGGACAAAATCGAATGGTCACCTTATATACATTGATCTTGAATTTCTACCATATTTAAATTTTAGATTGTATGAAATGGTTGTGGAATATTTGATTGGAAAGCGTACGGGATATTTTTCAATTTGTGCTTTCCTTTCAGTTGTAAAAGTCTCGAGTAGATCACCATCAAAAACTCGTCTAAAATATTGTCAGTTGACCTTAGTACAATTTCTCATTTGCAAACCATTTATTGTTTACTTGGGGGTTAATCGTCGTTTTAATAACTCAAGTATATTATAATGACAATTTTCCCTTGCACGCTCACSAATCWCAAAATTAGTTTTCGGATATATGGTCTTCCTTTGTTAGAATAGCACGAGGGGGACTAAGTAGAGTGATCATCTGTCAACACAGGGATCCCGATTTATCATTACTTATGTAATATATTGAATTTACACGTACATTTCAAATCTCAATCAAAATTTTACCTACGTCAATAGCAAAGTATCAACGAACAATTAATGTGGGATGAATTAAAACAATTGTTAGTTATAAACGTGTAGATGTGTTTACTGGGCGGGATGAGATCACGTGGATTTCATTTTAGCTCCATCAAAGACAAGAGAAAGGAAAAATTGAGCTGAAGGTCAAAAGCGCGAGGTACCATCTTTCAGCACCGCGGTCAATGAAAGAGAAAAGCAGTCATCAGTAGAGCATGCTCGCTCCATTTTTAGGTTTGATCTAGTGACACTCTTAGTTTTTGCTCTGATATTTCGACCAATTATCAACAATTATAAAAACATGAAGRTGCAGATCGAAAGTGTCTGCTTACAAGGATTGAAGTGGCTTGAGATACTGAATAAGGGTTATCATTAAAAAAACCTTGATTTTCACTGATAAAATTCAAAGAACCCCAGATTAGCCGCTTGAAATACTAGTAGTGAGGTGGTTTCCATTTTGAAACTATTGAACCGAAATGGTTAGGAACTCAGCTGAAATGGTTTCCAAACTGAAGCAAAAAAATATTTTCCAAGTATTTGAAAACCGCAAAAAGGGAGAGCTGAAATGACTTAAAAATATTTAGAAATATTTTGACAATGCACCACAAGATTGTGATACCAGTCCAATGAAAATTATATAGTGAAATGGCGAGAGAGCTTTCCAAATTTTCGGAAAAATGCAACATTGAAATGGAGTTCAATTTCTTGAAAATGCAGTTGACCACCGAAAATGGTTCCAAGTGTTTGAAAAGGTACGGCCCTCGAATTGAATAGTATGGCTGGCTACTCGAAATGTGCATAAGTAAAACTCAAGCAGTTCTCCTTAAAGACCACAAAGCTCAAACGATATCTACTCGATCTTGACCTTCAGCTGCAAAATATTTTATTTTGGCTGCTTCTATCGCAAGCCATGTTGTTAATTCCACTTCCGGTCTAATTAAGCCATCTTTTCGATTTTATTAGTATCAACACACGTCTTGCAGACCAATAATGGCCTCAGCTATTAGGAAATGACTGTTATTGTTTGGTGGTTTGGGGTTTTATCCTGAGGCTTATCTATTTGGTCTGATCGTCCCTGAGATTCCGCGATAAGGGCTGTGTAATCAGAGAACAATTGATGAGCGATGGGCTGGTTGATTTATAGATGTTAGATATACGGTCGATAGCCTTCGAGTACTTCTGTGTGGGGTGTGAAAGGAGATCAAGGCGCTCTTGAACAACGGCATTGAGATAGACAGAGAAAAAAAAATAAAGTTCACTGACTAAAACAATTTCTTTGAAAGCATAAATGAATGAAATAAGTAAATAAATGATTAACAACTGAAACTCATCATTGAATTTTCCCTCGACCTCCCTTTTTCCTCCTCCCTTAAACCATCCCTAACTGGATTATTCAAAAAAGGACGAAATGCAAGCGAAATTGAGTGATTTGGAAATTGTCCCTTTTCACATTTCGCTGAATGCTCTGACTGCATTAATGAAAGAGCAAATTTGATAAAATAAATGGAAATTGATTTGAATGAAACTTGACTGAGAGTAAAGGGGAACCTTAAATAAAGTTCAAAACATGGAACAGCAAATGTGAGAATAATTTCGAAACAAGATCCACAAAGTCGCCTTGAGCCTAGGGGTTGCGCATGTTACTAAATATCATAATTGCTTCACGCGCAGATGGTGACCAGAAAGGGTCAGTTATTGCTTGTAAAACCGCAATATAAGCAGTGTTACAGAGACGTTTGAAWTTAGTTAAAAACGTAGGCTTAAATGTTCGATAACGGACAAGTAAATTTGCGTGTCAATGGCTCCATGCAAAGGGGTCACTTCTTCATTCAACGGAATGCACCTTACATTGAACGTTATAAACTAAAAGAGGGAGTTACCAGCAGAGAGCTTCTGTTTGGAATTTTTCCATAAGTGCRCGCTTCTCTAAATGTGCTTGCGGGCTCTGATACTTTTGGCAGAGTTCCTTGGTTACATTATATAGCATCAGGATTGCGGTTTGCATTCCGCAAGTTTAAAATAAATAAACAGCTTAGGCAGCAGCKTCAATAGCAATGCTCCAAGCCTCTTCCAGTATTCTTTTTATTTCTTTATAGGAAAGTATTAAGTATTTTTAGAATTTTATAATATATTGTTAATGATTTCTTAGTTTTCATTATTAATTGTCTGTGGAACTGGTTCAAGTGAGAACGAGCTCACAATTCAGGATTATATAATGTTCAAACAGAATTTCATATCCCAAAAGGATACTGAGAATTAATTTGCAACTTTTATAGATGGATAAATGAGATTTGAACACTGGTTAAGATTAGTTGGGAAGCTCCAATAATCACTGCAAAACACTCTCTTTTGATGAAATGCGCATCGATCTTCGCGAGTTTGGTATCACTGTAAACACGGTAAAGACATCATTAACAAGCCGCTTCTGAACTTTAATACCGATCAAACAAAAGAGGAATCTAATAAACAAATAGCTTAGGCACTATTAACATACAAATTGGTTATCAAGGAATTTAGGTACGTTTTGAGGAAAATACCAGATATTTGGGTATGTTTCAGATMCCMAGATCTTAATCAACCAAGCTAATTAGTGAGCGAATTCAATTAGTGTTCTACAAATTGATTTTTTGTCATTGACATGAGGGGTTATGAGTGCATGACCTTCAGTGATAACGAACCACTTGATACGACAAAACAAGGCAAATAATAGGCAATTACCTTGTATGATAGCAAACATTTGTCCATTAACATTAAAAACAAACAGTTACTTCCATAGCTGAAAATCATTTATGCTAATACTTTAAGCTGTGTCAAAGTTTTCAGATTTTAAGTAAGACCATATATCCTTCAGTGCGGATAAAATGGTAATTACATTTACGTCAAAACTATGACATTTATTAATATGATTTCGAGACAAAATGTTTTCATTTCGAAGAGSTTGTTTTGAAACACTACCTCTTCAGTGGATGCGCGCATAATCAATTCAAAATGTCACCAACGGAAAAACGTTTTTTTACAAGAGTTCAAAACACAAACGGATGTGCCCTTCCGTTTTCTCCGCGAATTTGGCAAAATGTACAATGATTTGTACCATTTCAGCTTGAATCTGTCTCATATTTCACTGAATGAATTAAATRAACCACAGGACGCCCAGCCTATCAGCCCAGCGCATGGACAACTTTTTGACCTTTGCCGATGACGTTTAGGACTTTCACAAACATTTCTAAACCAGTCACACGTTAATCGTGGACAAACATCTGGACTTCACGTATTCCTCKTGTGATATTTACCGCAGAGATTCGTCGTGAAGTGAACGATGCATTGAAATAAGGACTGGAATTGTCAAAGAACTAAAGCATATAAGAAAGAGCAGCTTAACTAATGTGTTTGGTAACCACGGCATTAGCGGAGCCGCGCGCAAGATAGTACACTGGTCAACTTTCAACAATGGRAGTCTTTTTTCTTGTAWTACTGTCCGTAACTGCGCTGGCGAGTTCTTCCTTTGCGTCAAACGGTAAGCGTGTTATTGTGGTGTTCATGAACGTGTTACGAGAACAAAATCTTGATTTTATAAGTGTAAAAGTGTCCAGCGATGATTAACAATATCTAGTGGTACTAAGGGCTCATTGTACTTAGAGAGAACATTCCACGCGAAACGCTCAGTCTGTGTCAGATTATAATAATCCTTTCTTTAAAYTTTCGGTTGTCAAATTCTTATTGACTTTGCTAGAAAAAGCTACCTTCAACAACGGCATTAGTCTGAATCAAAAYGTCCAAGTATGTAACTAGACATGATAATTTTGATATCAAGTCTTTAAGTAGTGATATAATAACACGGATAATTGTTGCTGATCCTRAACGGATGACTTTTTTTTATTCATTTTGAGAAGACGCTATTTACGTCTGGTTATAATGGTCGCTTTACACACGACTGCATAAGACTCGTAAGCCACAGGTGGTACTACTAAAACAGTTACCATCCTGGATTTGATATCCACTTAGATTTCCAATAAATATTAAGCTAATTAAAAGACCTTGAATATMGGGCTCAAAAAGATGATCGAATCTTGGACCAAATCCGTTKTGGGATTTGGGGTAATCAGAAATTTGAATCAATTCCTTAATGAACACATGATGAACATTTCTCGAAAAAGAAGACGCGATCAATACAGACTAGGGAAAACAATATATGCTCAGGGCATGTCATTAGCTGAAACTGAAACACTAGAATGCGCATAAAATTGTATTTTAATCAAATAATTTGCTTTCCCAAGCTCCCTTTCGGTCTTAGATTCGTGATGTAACGCGACAATGTGTTGACACTCGGAGTGCTATAACCAATCTGTCTGCTCTCTCTTGYGTCAGGAAGGCCTAAGGCTAGTTCTAACTATATGCCATTTCAAAGCTCGTAAGATAAAAGTTTATAGTCCAGCGAGCCGTTCAGCACTAAGGGAAATTTTTGCGGTGAAGACATTTAATATTTTAGACAGGAATGAAGTGGCCATGTTAAAAAAATCTTAAACTGTTGAATGAAGTTCTTTCAACACTGCGCGCTTATCACGAGATGTCCATTTCACGCCCGAAAATTCTGCAAAAGTTCAATTGATGCTAAATAGTTCTTGAAAAGCTCRAAATTTCACACTTTTACATCTAATTCTTCGGTGAAATTAGTCATATTGTACAACAACGTAATTTAGAAGCAAAAATTTGTGTTGTTTATTCGTTTATATGCCTTTCTTGATAGTTAGATGCACTTTATTAAAGTTTAGGTTTCCTTCTAAGTGTCAGTTCAAAAGTCACGAAGATACAACCACGAAACTCAATATTACTGAAATTATTTCCATGCCTTAAAGAAACGTAACTGCTGATTTGAGGTCAAAGTTACTTGTTTAAACGAATAAGCCATGTTAATTACTCGTGAAATCTGATAAGATGTACACTTGGTTCTCACCAAAATGTGAACTCTAAAACCTCGTGACCGAATTGGTCTCAATTTTTTTGGGAAACAAGTAAGAAATACTATCCTGAAAGCYCAATTAACCTTACCAAAGAATTAGGTAAACACTGGGTCCCCTAAAAGTGCGATAACTTTACAATCTAGATACTTCTGTCATTGTTTTGACATACCAAAACATAGAAATATCAATTGGACCTAAAGGTCAATGATTGCAGAAAGTCTGGTTCTATACGAGGGCCTTGTGAAATGTGGGTGGGGTCGGTGATGTGCATCGATGTAAGAGATAGTACTATCCCCCATTAAATCCCTGATCTCATTGCCTCGTTACTAGATAAACACCAGGTTCCAAGGCACTCTACTAAACACAATATTGAATGGTTTAATCAAGTTAAATTGTCATTTTGCTGAGACGATTTTGACGTGATTAGTAAAGTCTTGAAGTATAATCATTCCGGCGATGGCGGATTAGTAGATAACCATTGGTCAGATTGTGGTTTTGTGTGCTTCTAAATCTCAAAACACATGCGGAAAGTCAATTAAGTTTATTTAAAGTTTTGAAGAGCTCTCGCTTCTAAAAATATACAAAGTGAATGTAATTTCAATCATTTTCCATCAAAATATACAAATGCAGTTTCTACTTGAAGTAGACAATACCCCGCTCGTATGTTTAACCCCCTGCTAAGGATAGATCATTTGTTTTTGAAAAGTTTGTTTACATGTAATGAGGCCTTTCGCAATTTAAACTTAGTCTAAACAAGTAGCGCGTAAGGATTCTTGTGCTGACTGTGTGGTAGGCCTATGGCCCGGATTGCCTGTACTGTAGTCCACGAAGTTCTGTAATAGATCCATAGCTTGTAAAAACAACAGCATCACCTCGCGTGCGAAAACCACCATGCTGTGTTAATCTTTCTTGAGCACAGTACTCAAACAGGGAAAATCACTTTCCGATGTTGTTCTAATCCTTCCTCGATGGCTTATTATTTCCTTTTAATACTAGAACTTTTTTAACGCTAAAAGTCATTCTTCTTCAGCTTGGAATGGCCCGTTTTTCTTATCTCTAGTCTTTCTGATTTTATTCACCTAGACACTGACAAAACTGCCCTCTCTCTTTGCCTTACACAATAAGGACGATTGGTGGGATTTTTTTTTATCTGGACATTTTGAATTAAACACAAAGATTCTTGATTCTTCAGTTCCAAAGAGCGTTTTTTGGATGCATCAAAAGTACTTACCGATATGTTTTGCTTTGTACATTATTTATAGGGAAGGAATGTATTCGTAGCATAATAGCCGACTTTAGATATTTTGGTTCAGTGACCATGCACAAAAGAATTGCAGACGAGGCTCCGGGGAAATAAAGAATAAATCAAGATTATCTATTGATAATTTTATTTTTTTAATATTGCAAAGAGTTATTTTGAAGTGCACGCTTCAAAATGACCAATCAAAGAGCGTATAATATAGTTTTATTCTTTATTTCCCCGGAGCCTCGTCTGCAATTCTTTTGTGCATGGTCACTGAACCAAAATATCTAAAGTCGGCCATTGTTTTTTTCTCCTTCTAGCACCTCCATACTTCATTCGTGCGACTGCGAAAGACCCACACATGGTGGAAGTTTCCTGGCACGTTCCTGGAAGCGCCCAGTCCCAAACCACCAAATACCGAATAGGATGGCGCGTCGGCTCATCTAAAAACCCTGAATCGTACGTAGTTGTCAATGGAACCAAGGGTTATTATATCTTCAAGAATCTGCGTCCATATACTTATTACTACTTTAGAGTCCAGCGTGGAACTATGGGAGGTTCGTATGGTGCCTTCTCTCGGTCGAGATGGGTAGAAACGCCAGAAACTGGTGAGTAATACATCTATACTTTGAAAGACTTTATCAAGTTCAAAAACAGTTGCAACTAGACTTTAACGTAGCATGACGTCGGGCGATCTAGCGTAATATTGTACGTGTTGTGTTAAAATGAATTATGTTGTTATAAAATGAATGTTACCTTGAATTTGCAATGTGTTTAGTGGTTGAAATCACATTTATTATCATAGCAATGAAAGGTGATTGCCAAAAGCATCATTCGGGGTCCCTGTGGTATAGCCCGTAAAGCATCATGGGCGACACACGACTTTGATAGATAGAGATAGATGGATGGATAGATTGAAGAAAAGGTAGAACTAAAGTCGGGCATCACCAACGGCTAGCCTGACTATTAAGGAACTCTCYTACCTTCCCTACCTACCCAAACTTCAATAATATCTCAAATATTCTTTGTTTCTAGTACCCACGGCTCCCCCAACAAATGTAACCGCGTACAGCACAAGCTCTAGGAGTATCCTGGTGAGTTGGGGTGTGGTACCGGCACAGCATCGTAACGGGCACATCCTTGGATACCGGACGTGTTAYTATAAGGCCTCTGAACTCCCATCKACTAAACTATGCCTTTCAGTCTAYGCACATAGCAATCACTTGGGGAATYTRAGCCCTTATACACCGTACTATGTTTTAGTAATGGCCTATACTAACGTAGGCGATGGACCACCTTCAAAACCGCTGCTTGTATGGACAGAACAGTTTGGTGAGTAAGCTCACACTGCACATGCGCATTGAATTGCAATTGCCTGACGTCACACCAGGTTTTTAGGGACTGTTTCGGTTTCATATAT